ATACAAGCGGTCAGAATGAGTCGAAATAGAAATGGTGGAAAAATTATTGGTCATTTCAAAATAACCTAGACAACAAGCGAGCGTACGATTGTGAAAAAACCAACAAAAACTTCGCCAACAAATCCTTAGCCCAAAGAGGAGGACATGATGCCGGCCCCAATGCTATTTTTGTTGGTGCCGCTGCCACTGATGATGATGGCAATGGAAATGGCAGCTTATAATTTGAAATACGTTTGCCCTGCACGCATGAAGTAGACTATCAAAACTTTGTCGAATTGCAATGGCTTAGTTTTTTGTTTTGTTTTGGAGTATTGCCCTATAAGACAAAACAAACCTTGGTAAATAGCAATTCTCTTTGAAAATTGTTACCTTATTCCAACTGGATTGGCATTCGAAATGACTGGTATTGTCTATGATGTTGTTTGTTTTATTTTTGTTATTTTTTTTTTTTTTTGTGAAAATCCATTTTTCTTCTGTTTTTTATATTTGCTTTTGATTTTTTTTATTTTTACTATTCTGTTCCATTGCCGTGTCTGAAATCACCTGCGGTGAAAATTCTTTATAGTCGTACCATTTTTGTTGTTGCTCTTCTAATTTTCTAGTTGTTTAGGCAATTGTTAGCTTGAGGAAGTACAGGAAAATTGTATTTTATGTATATATTTATATAGATATGTTCACAATAACAAGTGTAAGATTGGTTTGGTTAAACAAACACAGATTTTCGAAACTATATTATTATTATTGTCTAGCCAATGTGGTGGTCATATGCAAGGTCCAGTGAACTTTTTTGTATGAAATTGAAACCGGGCGGGTAAAACTGTAAACGCCCTACTAGAAAATTACTAGGAGAGCATATATATCCAGAAAATATATAATAAGTGGTTAAATAGTTTTTAGTCTTCTGTAATTCCAAGAATCCAAGAATCGAAGAAAATTCCTTCAATATCCAATAGACAGGAAATGGGGGCTTGTGTAACATGTCACCGTAATATTCAGCATAGCAAACTTTTTGGCTTAGAAGTGAGAATAAAACCTTTATAATACATAGATTTGAATGCACCGCTATTTGGGGCTATGTCATACCCATGGCAAAACAATAAAGGTAACCTCATTTGCTACAATTAATATGGCAACCCTTTTCTGACGAACTCGACCTTGTCATTATACCCTCCACCATACATAGTATTGAGGGTAAATTAAGTTCGTCATTCGGTTCATAACTCATTGAAATAAGATGGGCTGTATCGGTCCACGATATCGTATAGCCCCCATATAACGGTATCCTCCATATTCGGCATTTTGATGATTTTAGCCACATATTTCAATGACATTGTCTGCAATTCTACACAAAGAGATCTTTGTGACCACTTTATCCCCTGAAAGTGAAATTTCAAGTTTCTTCCAAATGATGGGGGGTATAAAAAGTTCGGTTAGCTACTTTTTTACTTGTTTCGTCAGTTTTTGAATAGGTCCTCGTTTTAGTATAGCGTCCATATAACGGTACCCTTAGATATTCAGTATTTCCATAATTTTTGCGACATTATTCATCGGATTTGTATAAAATTTCGTATATAAAGTTCGGAACTGTTACTACAACCTATGACACAAATTACTTTTGCAGGAACACGTCTTCGCATAGCTCCCATATAAAGGATATCATTTGAGCGGTATTTTTCGACGGATTTTTTTTTTTAAATTTCTAGTTTCTTCCAAATGATGGAGGATATAAAAACTTAGCTACTTGTTTACTTGTTTCGTCAGTTTTGCGATCCGTCTGATCTACAATGATGATAACCGAGTTGTTTTATTAATGTCTCAAAATAAGTTACATCCAAACTTATTAGACGTATTTAGACAATCGTATCTTTGGCGGACATTCGTTTTAAGTCTTGCAAATTCAGTCCGTTTTGCCAGACTGATCGATTTCAAAGGAGAACACTCCTTTTGGTACCTCCCCCAATAAAACCACGATTTTTCATAAAACAATTAGTCCCAAATTGTCTTTAAACTGCACACGTTCTAGTATTTCTACCAAAGTTAGGTCTGGAGTAAAAATGGGATATGTTAATCTTCAGTTTCTGTTAGCCCTCCACAAGAATTACTTGGCCATATGACCTCCTCCGTATACTCGAGACAGTGTCGGTGGCATAGAATGCCAATATCTTTCTATCGGTCAGGAAACAAATGGATCTCTCGACCTGTAAAAAGAAGTGTACCATTCTCCTGCTGCTCATTGTGGGAAGCTTTGCATCTATTCTTCAAAACTCGCTTATCTCGTTTTCCCTTTTTTCTTTAACTTCCATCTCATGTTCTGACCATGTTTCTATAGTTATTCTAGGGCTTGACAATACCTTCCTCTTCATGACATTTAATTCCCTTTCTAGGGAGTGGAGGACCAGTCTGGGTACCATACGAGAGCATCTTGCTTTTTATAACCTCAGCCGTTTGGCTACGAATAGGTAAATGTGCCTCATCGAAGTAAAGGTTTTAAAACCTATGTTTGTTTGGACCAAATTCGTTTCGGGACATGTGGAGTTGATCTAGTTGTATCCGTCATATCTGAAGATGGGGTATTTTAGTCCACTCCTTCTGGATCACATCTCAATATTTCAATTAACACAAGTTATGTTGTGAAGATGGAATATATCGGTTCACTCCTGCTGGAACCTGCCCCACAAAGGGTCAAAATTTTGAAAAATTATAACTCTCATGAAATGTGAAATTATTTTCCGATTATCTTCAAATTTTCCAATATTTCTACTAGAACAAGATTTAGTGTGATTTAGCGAACCACTCCTTCTTGTACACACCCCCCCCCCCCACAAAGTGGTCAAATTTTTAAGATAATAAAATGCGAAAAAAATCTTCTGACTCTCTTTAAGTTTCACATATTTCAATATTTACAGTAACCCAAGTTATGTTGTGAAAATGATAGAAATTGACCTACCCCTTCAGGTAACAACTCAATTTTAAGTATTTACATCTCTCATAACTTGCGAAATAAGATTGTGATAATTTTCAAACCTGGTATATCTAAACATTTCTCTTAGCCAGAGATCTGGTGTGAACTTATCGGTTCAGTCTTTCTTTTACTACACCCACAAAGGTTCAACTTTTTATACTCTCTACCATTCTATGGAGGGTATATTAACTTTGTCAATTTGTTTGCAACTCCTTGAAATATTTGGATCAGAGTAAAATTCTAAGACGATCTACCGATGTCCGTCTGTCTGTTTGAACGAATTGAGATAGAAGGCTATAATTTTGCATACTTTAATAGTTTACCTGTATGCAGGTAAATGGGTCATGTCGGTCCACGTTTTCGTATAGCCCCCATATAACAGTACCTCCCGATATTCAATATTATCATGATTTTAGTGACATTATTTACCGGAATCGTTTCAAATTTCGTATTTGAAGTTCGTTTTGGGTACTACAGCCTATGACAAATCAGATCCACGTCTTCGTATAGCCACATATAACGGTACCTCCCGATATTCGGTATTTTCAGAATTTTTGCGACATTATTCGCCGGAATTCAAATTTGGTATTGGAAGATCTTAATGGGTACTACAGCCTATGACAAAAAAAAATCGAAAGCAGTATAGGTGCTATAGAACGGGTTTCATTTAAGTGGTAGTTTTCGGAATGTTTTTGAAAATTTTCAAGTTCCTTCCAAATGGTGGAGAGTATTAAAAGTTCGTCCCGGCCGAACTCATCTGTTTGTTTTTTGCTTTTTCACATTTCAAAATTTTTATCAGTTTAAGATAAAGTGGAATACTTGGTTTCACTATATTTGGTTGCATAATCTACCAATTAGGAATCGTCAACATTGAATTGTAGCCCACACTGAATATCTCCAAAAAAATTGTTTATATCCTCTTAGAGCCTGAAAAGCCAAATTAAATAAATGTCTAATGTTGTTGGAAATCAATCAAAATCTGTTTTTCCAATTACAACAAACATCGAATTTAAAATCTTTTAAGGTCACACATTGTTTGCTGGGTATTTACATCTATTCAATGTCCTCTAGCAACTCATCTTCAATAACACACGAACAATCTAGACTAACGTCCTCTTTGAAGAGATTTCCTTTTTTCTTTAGTGTTTCCCAACACAAAACAAATATGTGTTCAATCTATTGATAGCAGCAAAGGTTTGGTCTTTCTTCCTTCAAAGGTTTCGTGTGGAGCTTTATAGACAGCGCGTGTGTTCCTGGTTCTGTTTCTTCCTGTTATTCTTTGTTGTGATTTTTTTTCTTTTCCCGACAATAAAATTTAATATATTTTCCATGATTCGTTTGTTGAATTTCGTTGGATCCGCACAAATAATCTCGAACACATTTCAAAGCTAGTGTGTGTGTGTGTGTTTGCTACGCTTTTCGCCCATTTAAACAAATATTTAGGTAGCAGATCTTTATTTTTCGGGGTTTGTCAGTTGGTGTTTTCTTTTTCTATTTGGCTGTGGCATTGTTTTTATTTCTACCTCCACCTATTTTTGCCTCGTTAGTTTGATTAAGATAATTTGTTTATCGACAAACTAGAAATATTTTTTGAGTGTTCTGGTTTAGACAGTTTGTTCGAACGTCGACTCGTTCGGACCATGGGTGGAGAGCTAGATAAAAAACAAAAAACAAATAACAAACAAAATGGAAACTAAGCCTAGTTAGGGTTACAAGTTTAGATTTCATGCTGCTGCATGGGCTGGCGACAGCCGTAACATGAGGTTGCCATATCGTTATGGCTCACGCAACAACAACTAAACAAACTTGTTGCAGCACAACATTCAAACCAAAGCCTAAGGTAAGATTTGGACCATCGACGCGGCGTAAACTGTTTAGAATGTTGCCTTTGATTTGATGGTCTTTGTATTGTGTTGTTGTTGTTGTTTTTTTTTATTAGATGATATAAATTTAAATGGATTTTAATGTTTGGGTTCTATACACACACACACACAGGAGGAGGTGGATGAGTTTTAATGTTGTCTTAGATTACACATACCTGATTCTGAAGCGTTCTCTGCTATCCGATATCTTGACCGCAGGTTCTTTTACTTCTTGGGCCGTCTTTGATTTGAAGTCTTGTTAGTCAAAAGTGTTCTGAAAAATTATGAAAGAACAAGAAAGCAAAAAAATAAAATCAAAGATTAATCAATCATGGTTAATATTTGGTTATGTACCCAACCAACAAGTGGGGCTAGAATATGAGCTATGTAAGTGTGTGTGAAATATGAGGCATTATTGAAATTAATGTTGAACAATTTATTTTGCTTATCAATTTCGGTTGGGGGGGGGGGGGGGGGGCTTTTGTGAAATTTGAGCTACACCAGCGCTGTGTGGTCTCACTTGTTTTGCATAGACACCACCAGCAGCATCATTAAATCTACTCTAATGATAGGCGTGTGCTTTTTGACAATAGCTATTAAGGAAGTTAGGTTTTTTGTGGTTCCTAGATTTTCAGTGGGAAACAGGTTGTGTTGTGGTTTTATCTTCTTTTTTAATCCAATATTTAAAATTTTGTTTTAAGGATCCTCTAACATAAAAAATCGTTTACTATAGAAGACTTCAAAAACAAAAGAAGTCAAAATGGTCCCCTTAGATAATAGATACAGCTTTAAATATAGATGTCTATTTTTTTCTGGCATACATTAAGATACCATCTGCCCTTCTTATGTTGTAGATGTTCTTCTAGTATGTTTAAGTCCAGTATTCCCTTTCAAAGAAGAGCAGATGACCTTTTAGTATAATACAAACAGGTGGCCTTCTACCATACAGGGTGATATGAAAAAACTGCAACCAACTTCAGACTGCTTCCATTTCTGAGCCTCTCGTCCGAAAGCTGTTAAAATTATTGCAGTGACAGCTCATTATATTATTTACAAGCGTACAAAAACATTTTGGTGAGAATTTTCCAGAAAAAAAGTTGTTCGTGATGGAATTCAGCCGTAATAGTGTTATTTCTTTATATTTGGCTGGAAACCACAAGTGACTGTCGTTAGAGCACTCCAGCAATTAAATGTAAATTAATCTTTTGTGTCCCGTACCATCGCTCGTTACCGTGAGCGTTACAAGGAAGTGGACGAAAAAACAGCAACATCAGCAAAAATGGTTCGAAAAGTAAAAAAAGCTTTAATGGTGTGGGCCGGTGGTCTTCTAATGGAGAACAGATGATCTTCTATCTGAGGAAGAGCAGGTGATTTTCCATCTGTAGAAGAGCAGGTGGTCTTCTATCTGTAGAAGAGCAGTTAGTCTTTTATCTGCAGAAGAGCAGGTGGTCTTCTATCTGTAGAAGAGGAGGTGGTCTTCTATCTGTTGAAGAGCAGGTGGTCTTCTATCTGTTGAAGAGCAGGTGGTCTTCTATCTGTTGAAGAGCAGGTGGTCTTCTATCTGTTGAAGAGCAGGTGGTCTTCTATCTGTTGAAGAGCAGGTGGTCTTCTATCTGTTGAAGAGGAGGTGGTCTTCTATCTGTAGAAGAGCATGTGGTCTTCTATCTGTAGAAGAGCATGTGGTCTTCTATCTGTAGAGGAGCATGTGGTCTTCTATCTGTAGAGGAGCATGTGGTCTTCTATCTGTAGAAGAGCATGTGGTCTTCTATCTGTAGAAGAGCATGTGGTCTTCTATCTGTAGAAGAGCATGTGGTCTTCTATCTGTAGAAGAGCATGTGGTCTTCTATCTGTAGAGGAGCATGTGGTCTTCTATCTGTAGAAGAGCAGGTGGTCTTCTGTCTGTAGAAGAGCAGGAGAAAATCAGGAGATCTTCTACCTATAGAAGAGCCGGTGATCTTCCATCTAGTGGAGAAGAGCATGTGGTTTTCTATCATAGAACAGCTGGCGGTATTCTAATTCTTTTTTTATTTAGAAAAGCCATAGAGCTCTTTTAAGGAACAAGGTAAGATAAGGCTTTTGAAAGCCTTCCAATAAAGGAGAGAAGAAATTTGGAGGTCAGCTTACATTATTGACTTTTAACACCCTTCTTGATAAAAACCGTTGTATTTTTTTGCTATTAACTATTCCACATTAATATAAAACCACCGCCTTATATATTATGTCCTGCAATTTTTTTTCGCACTTGCTCTTTATCAGGCTGTTTATTCCGTTTTGACAAATTTTCCCTCATGTCCCTCAGCTAAGCAAACCAATTTGATAATGTCTTCGCTTATTATGAAAATAAAATGCCCGCCATAAAAATGGTAACTTGAAAAAAATTACATAAAATTACAAGGCCATTTATAGTTCTGGATGTCAGGTCATTGGCCATAAATATAAAGGCAGAGAACAAGTCAGGCATTCAAGTTGGCCAACAACAAAGACCAGGAATAGAAAACCACATGTTTCAATCTTGAAAACACATAAAGGGGCTAATGGGCGACATTAACTTTTGGGGCCTTTTGCTAATAAGGGTCACACTACCAGCCATCCAGCCAGCCATACAGCTAGCTAGCTAGCTAGCTGGACATCCAGCAATTCAAAGTCATAATAACTACAAATACCAAACATAAAGCCATTTGTAACAACAGCAGCAAAGTAGCAGCCGCAGCAACAGCATCGTCAGGCCAGAATAAAAGCCGCAATAATAACTGAAAAGAGATCTAAACGCCAAAGTTCAATGTTATTTTTTTTCTTCTTCATCTGCTTTTGGTGGGGTTCTTGTTTTTATTTTTGTTTTCTGTTTTTGGGCTAGCATGTTGGTGGCGTGTTACTACCATTGTTCACCCAATAATGTTCTCCATATAGAATTACATTGTTCTTGTTCTTTTAACGTGTGGCTCAGTTATGGGAGAAATGGCGATTGTTGTTGGCGGCGGTAGCGCTCATATTTTGCCATAGGAATTCTTCTATTCGAGTTCTCTTTGGCGGATTCTGTCTCAGATATTATTTATAATGTTGAAGAACTTTGGAAAATACGAAAAACGAACGGTACATTTATGTATGATTATGTTTGCATGGACCAAAACATGGCAAAAACAAAAACGCCGAAAACATAGTGGAGAGTCAGATCGGCTGCAGAGAACTGTTATGAAAGAAAACAAAAGGCAAGTTCATATGGCCCACGTTTTTTGTGAGGTGACTTCAAAAGCCGTTTGTAACACACTCACCTCATTAATAACAAGAGGAACAAAAAAGACAACAACGAAGACAAAACCATTTAGAACAGTAACAACAGCACATCTTCTGCACGGATGTGGTTGGTTACTACAATTTTTGCAGGAAATTACATGTCGTATACTTATATGTATATGGACATTTGGAAGAACCTTTTTAAGTCTCTCTTTTTGACAAGAACGAAAAGAAAGACTCAAGAGGAAACTTTGTTGTCGTTGCTACCTAACATGCGGGTTCTTGGCAAATTGAATCCCTCCAAAAATCAACCTTCACCAAATTAACTTGAAATTGTTCAAACAAGCATTGGCTGCAGTGACATGACATGATGTGATGTTATTGCTTGTTTAAATGTCATTGACGTTGTTATGTCTTCTTTTGTACAAGTGTCTTGTAGTTCTTCTTTTTTTTAATACGGAAGTGTTATGTTCTTGGAATGAAATGATGATGTTTCTGATGGCGGTTGTGCACAGCAATAATCGACCTTCACTTTTTTATACCCTCCACCTTGAAAAGAAGGGTATATTAACTTTGTCATTCCGTTTGTAACATCCGTCGTAGACCCCATAAAGTATATATATTCATGTTCACCATAAAATGCTAAGTCGATTTAACAATATACGTCTGTCCGTTGAAATCACGATATAGCCCACATTATTTGACGTAGAGCTTCAAAATTTGGCTGAACAATGTGTATTGTGTCTGGTTGGTATTGAAAATGAGATATATCGCTCCACGTTTTGGTATAGCCGCCATACAACGGCACCTCCCGATATTCAGTATTTTGATGATTTTCGTAACCTTTTTCCACGGATTTTTCTAAAAATGGGTACATGAAGGTCACAATAAGTTTTTAGTTCCAATGGGGGAGCATTGTATGGATTTACCGATATTCGGCATTTTCATGATTTTAGCGACCAGAATTATTTTAAATTTCGTATTTGAAATTCGTAATGGGCACAAAAGCCTTTGTCCACGTCTTCGCATAGCCCTCTTATAACGGTAGCCCCTGATATTCAGTATTTTGATGATTTTCGTAACATTTTTCCGCGGATTTGTCGAAAAATTGGTACATGAAGGTCACAATAAGTTTTTAGTTCCAATGGGGGAGCATTGTATGGATATACCGATATTCGGCATTTTCATGATTTTAGCGACATTATTTACCAGAATTATTTTAAATTTCGTATTTGAAATTCGTAATGGACACTAAACCCAATTTTTATACGCAGGTCCACGTCTTCGTATAGCCCTCTTATAACAATACCGATACTCGGTATTTTAAAGATTTTTGCGACATTATTCACCGGAATCGTTTCAAATTTCGCATTTAAAGTTCCTAATGGCTACCTCAGCCTATTACCAATAAAATTGTATGCAGGCCCTCCTCTTCGTACTGCCCCCATATAACGGTACCTCCCGATGTTCGGTATTTTCATTACTTTAGCGACATTATTTACCGGAATTATTTCAAATTTCATATTTAAAGTTCGTAATGGGTACTACAGCCTATGACAAACATTTTTGTATGCAGGTCCACGTTTCGTATTGCCCCCATATCACGGAACATCCCGATATTCGGAATCGTTTCAAATTTCGTATTGGAAGATCTTAATGGGTGCTAAAGCCTATGGCAAAAAGTTTCGTATGCAGGTCCACGTCTTCGTATAGCCCCCATATGACGGTACCTCCCGATAGTAGGTATTTTCATGATTTTTGCGACATTATTTACGGAATTACTTAAACTTTCATATTTAAAGTTCGTAATGGGTACTACAGCCTATGACAAAAAATTTCGTGTACAGGTCCACGTCTTCGTATAGTCCCCATATATCGATAAGGGGTAATTCTCGGCACTTTTTTTGAAAAATTTTAAGTTCCTTCCCAATGGAGGAGGGTATTAAAAGTTCGACCTACTTTTAAAAATATTAAAATTTTTGGCGTAGAGGTACCAGAAAAAGGTGGAAATATTAGTTTACTTCTTTTTGACATATTATGAGACTGCTAATTATAAGAATTCTTATCAGATCTGGTGTTGCTAGAAATATTGGGATGTGCCAATTTTAAAAATTCATGTCATTTTGAATTTCATGAGGGAGAGGTACCAGAAAGAGTGGTACCCTTTGTAGGAGATGAACTTGACGGACCAATCCAATGTCTTGTTCTACTAAGTATCTTATTTTCTGTATATCTGCAAATTTCCTTTATTTTTAAATAGCCGTTTCTGCAAATAGGTTAAAAACATATCCGTCCATAAAGCTAGGTAAAATTTGTATATTCAAAACAGAAATTATCAAACCTTCGACATTATGAGAATATTGTTCTGAATTTGTGAAAATCTGAACTTTTAAAATAGATACTAAACTAGTAGAGAAAGAACAAAAGTCGTCATCCCTTTTTAGCTGATAGAACATATTTGTTGCACAATAAACGTAAAGATTTGTATGGGAATCGGAATCGATCACGAAAAATTTCCCATATCATATTACAATAGTCCATTCAGGAAAAGCTGTATAAATGCCGAATATTATCACGAAAATATTCTAGAGGGTGTATTAAAGCCTTGGGCTCGCAAACATTTTTGCCACACGCGCCATTTCGCTTCATTTCCAGCGCACAATGTCCACCAAAATCTCCGGATACCAATCCGTTGGACTATTGTGTCTGTAGTATTTTGGAAAGCAAGGTTGGCACTAAAAATTACCAAAGTGTCGACCACCTCAAGCAAGCGCTTTGCCGGGAATGGGCCAAATACCGCAGATTTACATTCGGACCGTTTGAAGGCCATAATTCGTGCCAAAGGTGACCAATTCGAACAAATCTAAACTTATTCTAAAATTTGATGCTATTTCCGACATTTTTTCCTTTCATTCAATAAAATTAAAAAAAATATATAAATATTATTGCGTTTGACTTTGTTGCAGTTTTTATATCTCACCCTGTATATGATATGTTAGGCCGCAATTGTTTCAACAGCTTTAAAATTTCTTTACTGACTTAGATTATATCCATTTTAGATTATTTGGATGGGAATGTAGGTCAATAAGATTTTTTTATACTGACTGTGTTAAATAGGAATTTAATATTTTGAGGTTGGAGGGGTGCATTCAGGAAAAATATCTCACAATTTTTATATAAAAGCATATATGTTGCTGTATTACAAAAATATCTTAATACGTTTTTCAGATTCAGTTTTTTATAGTTCCGTTATTACACAACTCAGAGAAATCGAATTATATGTCCTACTTATATGACTGATATTCATTAAAATTTTACAGCTCGCATCTACGGATTTTGTTGGGTACTAATTTTGTTGTTAAATTTTCCAGTTAGATTCTCCGAAAAATATGTTTTAACTAAAATTCTTTGATATCCTTTGTGTATATAAATTTTGTCGGAAATCTTTTCTAAAAAATTAAAATTTTCTATATCGAATTTTTTAAAAAAAGAAAATAGGTAATTGGATTTTGAAATATCAACATCTGTTGAAAATTATATTCAGTTCTTTGAAATATTTTATTCAGATCCATTCTAATTTGTATCCATAGTCATTTTTGGAGCTGCATTATTTTAATTCAAATTTATTTTTTTTTTTTTAATATATTAATGATCGTTGACAAGGAAGATCACATTTTTAACAATGATTCGGAGAACTGTTTTTGAACGCTGTTCTTGATCATGTTTTTCACCAATATTTAGTTATTAGTTATTTTTCCAAAATCTTGTTTTTAATCACTGTTTGCTGTTCAGTACGTTTTTTGGTGACTGTGTTGTTCTGCATTAAAAATAAATTTTTCCAACATTCCAATATTGTTTTTATACCATTCTTAATTTTTTTATTGAATTTTAAAAACTGTGTTAGATTTGAAATTTTTAAAAACTGAATTTATCTTCAATAAATATTTCTAAACCATTCCGAAATCATAACAAGTTTGTTACACTTTAAAATTTAATAATTTTGCACATGATTCAGCTTTAAAAACACAATTTCACACACCTTTGGATCTCACAATAAATCAGATGTTTTTTCATGGATTCCTTGCTGACCTTATTTGAAATATTTCTCAAACTTTTCTTAGTTACATCTGCATGTTAGTCATATGATCGAACGACCGTCATTATTCTTTTATTTAGTTCTTTATAAATCACTTAACAGTTGACTTGCTGACGACCGACCAGACTTTTGTCTTTTTAACCGAACGAACGCTCCGCGATCACTGAAAAATGTGGTTTATTATCTTTCTCTTGGATGGATAGACGACGTCTTATTTCTTTAACGCATGCCAGTGTTCTGACCGTACTCGACACCGTCACAAGACACGAGGAAATGAAAGCAGTGGGGAAAAGAAAAACAATTCAAACACTACCGCCAGTCAGTCAGTCAGTCAGTCCAACTATCCAGCCAGCAGCCTTCAGCCATCAAACCTTGTAATCCCAAAATAAAAATTGAGTTGTGAAAATCGCATAAAACACAACGGAGACGACGACGATGGAGTAGAAAAAATGTTGGCTTGTCGACATATATTTTACGGTCATACCGCTAAGAGAAATTCATTCCCCCCGTTCTTTCTCTTTCTAATGATGATGGCTTGCATGGAACATGTTCGAAACAAACAGTAATCCAACAAAAGACCAACTATGAATGTAACTCCAACCAAAGCAAACGAACGCGATCCCCCAGAGAAGAGCCTCTGAAAAGAAAGATTTGTTGCCGTTGTCTTGGTTTTGGTTTTATGCTGCTTTCTCCACTCATTATTTGTGGCCGCTTCTAACATGTATTCACAGTGCTTTGCTTTAAACCAGCCAAGATCAGCTCATAGTTGTTTGCACGAGTATGTGTGTGGTGGTGTTTGGCTTAGAAATGATGTTTGTTGGCAGGTTAGTCGGATTGTTTATTTGTTTGTTTGTTTGTCGAACTAATGCTGTGTTGTCCTTAAGCGGCATTTTTCATAGAGAAGAGATCACAAGACGACAACAATGAAAAAGACGATGAAGAACACCAACAACAATAACAAGAATCTAGAAAGTACAACTATGACAATAACAACAAGAACAGCAACTTGTCAATGTTTAATTTTTGTTGTTTTCCCTCCCCCCATTTCTCGGACGGCGATGATGGTGATAATCTTTGTTATTGGCATTTGAGAAGCGGCATTTATTGTTTTAGATTTTTTTACGAGTTTTCATCTTCTTCGATTTCTGCCAAGTTTTGTTTTTTTTTTTATTTTATTTGATTTTTGTAATGTTCGACTTCTTGTTAAGCAGTGAAAACTTGAGGGAAAAACAGGCAATACTTGTAATTTAATTGCTGTGATTCAATGGCAGGTTACATCAATGGTCTTGTAAATGCTCAAAACACAAAGCAGAAGGAGGTGGAAAAAAACTTGATGACTGCTTAACATCACACCAATCTTTGTCGTCATCATCATCATCAACGTGATCTCCACTTGCAACATCGAACATGGTCAGCGCCATTGGGTGAACCAACTTTGTGGTTTGTTTTGTAAGCTTTGTATGTTGCTGCTGTTGTATGTGTGTGCGAGAGCGCTGTCCAAAGAATTAGGTTAGATGAGTTCGCCTGAGAATATTGATTGCTTTATGATCCAGCACACATACCTGCATAAGCTGATGCCACAAGAGGAACTTGTTGCTGTGTGACGATGAAGTTTGTGTCTTAAGTCTTTTGTTTAATATTGACAACACAATTTTGAAGACTGTTTACAATGTTTTCCTCGTTTTCAAAAGTGTTGCTTTTTCTTTTGAAAATATTTTTTGTTATTCTAAGCAAATATTTATCTCAGGGAATTCTTTGAAACCCCCTTTTTACATGACTAATTGATACTTGTTGACAACAAATAGGGAGAAGAATACCTAAAAAACTACCGACAAGAAATCTCTGCTCTATAGGTAGAACATGAATATCGAGCCGAAATGCGAAATTACCACATCAAACATATTTAAGGATGACTTCAATAGATTTTTTTCATAAGTCTGGTAATTTCTTCTTCAACTAAAAGGTAAATTTATAGATAAAATGTGAAAGACTTATCGCGGGATAAAACGCATAAAATTTTTTTTCTAGACAAAAGAGCTATAAACTCTGTAAAAAATAGAAAGTTTTCAACAAGTCTTCAAAAGCAAGTTTTTACTAATTCCTGTGTGGGCTTCCAAATACAGAAAAATCAAAAATAAGAACCTTCCACAATAATTTTGTAGATATAGAAGTTTATTATGTCTTCTGTGGACCAAAGAGTTTGTAATATAATCTTATGTGGTTCATTGGTCTCCTCCTACTACACGGACTGGTTATTTATATATTATAACTCTGACATGAGTTTTTATTGGTATTCGATGGACGGAATACCTTTTTAGGTCGACTATTTTTAGAGAGAGAAAAGCTTCCACTTATATTCGATCTATAGATGGTTTACTGGTCTTCTAAAAATAGCATATCTTTCAAGGGTATTCTATTGTTAAAATTATCCGGGCTTCTATACATGTCAATGATTGGTTGACAGGTTTTCTAGTAATAATAAGACCTTTGTGATATCCTCTGCGGATATTCTATCTATAAGAGACCTGTAGGAAGACTTCTTCTCCAAAGATCTGTAGGATGACTTCAAACCTTAGAAGATCTGATAAAGTTCTTTGAACCATAGAAGGGTTCGAGGAAATTTATCAGGTCTTGTAGGGTTAGAAGTCATCCTATGGTAAGAAGACCTTTGGGGGGTTTCCATAGGCAAATTTCCTTTCTAACCTAAGGAAGGCCTTTTATAAATCTTCCAAGCTGTAAAACTTTTTATAGGTCTCTAAGCTTAAAAAAGTTTTCATAGAATCTTTTGCATGTCGCCATTTTAAGAGTTAGGTTAAATTTTGATTTCGTTTCCATTAGGTTAATCCTGATAAAAGAGGAGATATACAGAGTAGAATATAAAAAAGACAATCGTAAGAGTTAGGTGTTACAAGTCTACCGCTTAACCATTATAGAAGTTGACCAAGTTTGTAAGTTCCCTGCCCGAGGATTGGGAGGTCAATTCAATATCTCTGATTGAAAAATCGGCTGCAGCTTTCCTCATCTTCACATAGTCTGCAAAATTCAATAGCATTCTCCTCCCAGTGCTTGGGCTGGACAGTAACCAATAATGATTCCTGCAACAATATTTATCTCCGGTTTAATTTTCGATCTGAAGTTAGAGACCAAATACAACTGTTTTCTTCCGAAAGAATTTTTGAGTTTGCCGATATAGCGGCAGAGTTGTGGTTTAATATAGGTAGATTGAGAGACCACCCCAAACTAACTTATCAGTCATTTCATTTCTTTTATATTAGAGTCTTCTGTTACCAAAACGCAATGACCCTCCCAATATTCTCCAAGGCAGATCTACACTCGCTACCTTTCTTGGATTTGTTGGAGAATAACTTTATTGCCTTAGGAGCAGCAAGTTGCTAGTAATTACCTCTGAGAGAGAAATAGAGAGAGAGAGAGAGTGAGAGAGAGAGAGAGGGTGTAGGGACAGAGTTGTTGAAGCTGAAGTGAAGTTTTTTTTATCAACAAAAGCTAAAGCCAGGACAACAGAACGTCTCTGGTGACGGACGTCCTAATGGAGCATTCGCAAATGCTGAAGCTCATTATTATTACCAAAAATACTCTTTCATTCATGTCAATCCGAATAGATGTCTCATTTAAACTTTTTAGAATTTATAAATGGATCCCAGATCACACTGTTGACGGCATATTCTATGTCGAGTAACTAACTCACACCCAATATATGATGTGATTTCCACGTCCGACAACCTTTCAAGAGCCTTAAGTAGAAAGGGGGAAAGGCTAATCGGATATGTAGTCCTTCTGTAACAAGTGGCTGGCTTTGCGAATAATAATGACGGCTACCTCTCCCCACAGTGTTGGAATTGGCGGCAATAGAAGAATACCTATAAATTCATGTGAGTTTCTATTCAAATTATGAAAAAAATGAATCCTGTCACAGTGAGTGACGAAAATTGTCTCTTTTCAGTCTAAAGTTCAGGTCATATTTCCTCTACCAAAATCAAATGACCTTGTCATCGTGCATTATTTACGTGCGCTCTCATCCCCCTCTTGTCTCAAAATCTAAAAATAAATTTTCGCCTTCTATAAACTAGACAAACCTTAGGTACCTTTCTTAATTATATTTTTCTACTCACCTAAACCTGCTACTGTCTCCATTTATTTTCCTCTTTTTCATTCTTGGTGGTACTACAAAAGAAATCACGTAGTCGGCATTCATTCATTCCTACACCACTCAGTCGTCACTTCATCCATCCACCTGCTTAACATGGGGACAAAATTATGGTCTTCTTTGAAATATCTTTATGTTTTTATAATTAACTAATAAATGTGAATTGTGTTTTGTGTGTGTGTGAGCAGTACTGGGAAATGAAATTCAGTCATCCCCTGATGAGGTTTGGGATTTTCCACATTGCCTGGCAACAAGTATGACAAACATTATGAATATTTGATCCGAAGTGAATTCATGCTCGTACAACATACTATATGTTTACCATTGTCCTCGCTCTCTCTCTCATTCTCCTCCATCCACAGCACTTGTAGGTGTAGATCATTTCATGTTGATAATGTTTTACATGGCATGGTATATTAATTATCACGTAGCACTGTCTGTACAATTGCAATATGGATGATGGAGATACGAGTATGAACATGTATATGCCACAATATCGCCGTGTGCCTAGACCAAAGGAAAAACGAACATTAGATGTGTTCAAATAAACACTTTTCACTGGCACTTTGTGAACGAGAGATAATCTTTGACAGGCGTATAAATGTAATTTTAATTTCTTTCTATACTTTTGTTTATGGATGGTTAGCCATAAAAATAAAAGAAAAACAACAAAAAACAAACCGAAAGGTGTTCTTTCAAAGATTGTTATCTTAATTTAATTATTCTTCCGGTTAGGAATTCATGTCAAAAGGCACTTTGCGGTTCCAGGGAAAAACAATTTTCAATAAGAAAGTGGGAAATAAAATAGGCAATAAAAAAAAATTATGATGAGTTAGAAGAAATGATCGACAGGACCACACAAAGACCACTTTTATGGGAAATAGATACGAAAGAAAATTGGAGCATGCATGTCTTTAGAGGGCATGTTGGTGCTATGTACTTATTTTCTGGAAACAGGATTTTGATGGCCATTGGAAATTAAATATTGGTCTGCACAGAAACAAGATCAATTGGAGATTGAATTAGAAAACATGCGCATGGAAGGCCATCAAGAAATCTTGTACGTTTGGAAGACCCTTAGAAGTTTTTTTTACATATAGATGACCGTTAGTAGGCCTTCTA